AGACTCAGCACTTTCTCCCCTCACCCACCACTGGCCCAGGTTCCAGTCAGGCTAGTTTTTCCTCCTCTGGGGAACGCCATGGGCCATCCTGACCCAGCCGCCCTGTCTCACCTTTCCTGGGTTTCCACTTGCGGGAAGTGATGGAGAGGAGTGGCGACAGACCTGGGATGCTGGCCCTGGGTCGTCCTGATGTCACCCACCTGGCCTGGCCAAGGCCTGGAGCTGCCCATAGCGTGGCCAGCATCTCTGGTCTCTGCCCTCAACTCTCCATCCGCATTACTGGGAGGAGTTCAGGCCCTCTCCCTCTAACATGGCCTATCTCAGCAGACCCTTAACTGGCCTCCCTCCCCCTGGCCATGCCTCCCTCCCTCCCACCAACCCACTCTCCACTTGGGTCCCGGGAAATTTCTGAAATACAAATGATTGACATGACTTTCCATTGTCTTCAGCATCAAGTCCAACAACTCCTTGGCTGAAGTACAGCCCCCAACCCCTCCACCCCCTGCCTCCACCTCTTCCTTGGCCCCTCCCTGTTATGGGTTGGCTCAAGGAGATAGACCACCGACTCAGAATTTAAATTTGAAAGCCATTTATTAAGCTGGCCAGCTGACCACAGCCCGTACCTTCCCCCTCTGGGAAGCCTCGGGCATGTGGCAAAGAGCAAGTGTGCATTATGATTTTTATAGCAAAACAGTGTTACCTTAGAAGCAAAACAGTGTTACCTTAGAAATTCACAGAAAGTTCATAAGCACAAAAAGGGGGGTAAACAGAGTCACACCTGACTAGTCTAAGACAATCTAGCAATTTTTCTTCCATGGTTCCTAACCCTGCAACCCCCCTCCATACGTCGGTCCCTCCTCCCAGCACATACACAATCCTTCTTCATATCCTGGCAACACAATTCTTCCTCATACATCCCCCTCCCTCCGAGCACATTCAATTTCTCATGTCTTATTTCCTCCCCTTAGCACATTCTGTAACCTTCTGTAACCCTTCCATGCCGCAGTCCCTCTCCCTAGCACACTCCCCTCCCCACATGCCCCCAAACTGAGTCACTGGATGTTCCCCCAAACTGATATCAGCAATCTACTCACTCATCCAGGCCCTCCTCTGCCCCCCACACACTTATTTATCTTTCAGTCTCTTAGTCAAGTGCCCTGCCCTCTATAAAACCTCTCAGTGCTCCTGGGCAGAAGTGAGTGCTCTCTCCATTTGCTCTGTCAACATAAGAACCATCCAAACCTGTAAGAATTTTTTGTTTGTTTGTTTTTTTGTTAATCTTCACCCGAGGATCTTTTCCCATTGATTTTTAGGGAGAATGGAAGGAGAGGGAAAGACAGAGAGAAACATCCATGTGAGAGAAACACATTGGTTGCCTCCTGCACAAGCCCCAACCAGGGCCCGGGCTGGGGAGGAGCCTGCAACCAAGGTACATGCCCTTGACTGGAATTGAACCCAGGACCTTTTGGTCTACAGGCCAACGCTCTATCCATTGAGCCAAACCGGCTAGGGCCAAACCTGTAAGATTTTTTTTATGAGTTTATTTGAGCCAAACTGACAACAATCGCTAGGAAGCAAAATCTCAATGGGTTGAGGAAATGCTCTGGAAAATGGCAGTTTTGTTACCGGGGAACTTGGGGTATTCTTTTCCCCACTGAGTCCTGGGTGTGGAGTTCTGACGATATCTCAAAAGAAAGAGTTGTCTGGAGAATGAGTGATTTTTTTTTTTTTATTTGCATGGAATTACATCCCTGGGTTTCCAAAGTCCCATGTCCCTTAGTCCAGTCGTAGAAGTGCAGCTGGGGGTTCAGGAGAGCCAGAATCAAAGCAATGCCCAGCGTTTCCATTCCTGGTTGCATCGGGTCCAGTTCAACATCGGCTGGTTGCAGCCCATTGTCCATTGTGTGTGGGGTCCACATGGCTGTGGGCCACGGGGGTAAATGCAGGGGGACCAAGAGAGCCAGGAGCAGGAACTCCTTTGTTTACGTTAGGGC